CCATATCAATGAACTTTTCATACCCTGTAATATTAAAAACTAATTGTCTCTCTTGCAGTTTGAATGAATCTTTCACCCATACATAATTTTGTAAACTTGCATTATAAAATTGCAATGCATTGGCCATTTGGAAAATATTAGTTCATTGAGTTAGGCAGATCTTCCACAACCTGACGCATTTCACTATGCACTATCTAAAAATCATAATTGTTAATATCACTACTGATCTCAACAGAAAGTGTTGAGAAGATGTCAAACTTATTTTAGCTGATACAGGTCTTATAAAATTTTATTTTTTGCTTAAAGACTGGATTTTACCATTAGTAATAAATCCTGTCAGTTGTTTATATGAAATTGCAGTCACTTTGTTCATTTTTGAGAATGTTTGGCAAATACCTAATTTTGAATAACTATTGTTCTTGTGTCAGTTGTTCTTTCAAGTAAAAATGATGTTTCATGAAAAAGTGGCTAATTCAACTTGCAACTCAAATAATTGCAAAAAGCTTTTCTTTGAGACAACCTCTAAACTTCAGCACATAGCTGAAATGCTTTATGTATACTTCCCATTTGCCACATAGAATGTTAAAAAGAAGGGTACTCAAGGATTGAGATTTCATAAAATGATAATTGCTATTGCTTCATCAAAGATATTTTCAGGCTAATTGCTGAGAGATTTACCTGAATCTAGATTCTCTGAACTCAATTCTGAAAAATTGTGCTAAAGAGTAAAAGGATGAATGCCCAATTGCCAGACTATCTCCATGCTTTTAAGGAATTTTTTTTTTTAATCCTCACCGAGGATATTTTTTCACAGAGAGTGGAAGGGAGAGAGAGAGAGAGAAAGAGAGAGACTGGTTTGGGGCCAGGATAGAGCCTGCAACCAAGGTACATGCGCTTGATGGAAATCGAACCCGAGACCCTTCAGTCCACAGGCCAATGCTCTAACCACTGAGCAAAACCGGCTAGGGCAAGGGAATCTTGTTATTTTATTTTTACACTCCTTTTTATGAACCACTGTAGTCTTCCCCAAAGCCCTGAGAGTACTAGTGAGCTTATTTGCTCAAATAACTATTTTGGGGTCATTTGCATTAAAGTGGAAGGCACATAGTAGTTCAGGAGGGGAAAGGGGTCTTAGAATATAAAACAAAATGAGAAGAAAAGTTCCCTTTCGGGAAAAAAACCCCAACCTAGCAGTTTAAGGTCAGTGGGGGAGTTGTAATAGATTGTTGAACATGTTTCTGTTTTTCATTTGGGGGGAGGTAAATTGAATCACTGAAAGATAATTGAGTCAGAAAGACCTAACGCCATGGAATTCCAGGCCTGTGGATTAGAGAGGGGCAGTGAGTTACAGATTGAAGTTAGATCAGAGTGTGCTACTAATTTTTGCTGTGTTCTGGCATGGAGTTATCCTTGGTGAAGTTAGAGCTGTATAACTTGAATGAGGGAGTGAGATTAATTGAAATCTCTGATGTTCTTAAATTTTAATATGGTAATTAAAGGTTGCTTGTTCTCTAAGTCAACCAAGTTCCTCTAGCAACCTCATAGAGGCCCAGAGGAAGAATCTGGTTACCAACTGAGAACAAAACAATCTTGCTCTGGAACTTGAAGCAGGAGGGTTGAAGCTAGACATTATTCCCTGGTATCCTCCCTCCACCCCCACCCCACCCTCAGCCCACAAGGTGTCCAGAAATTAAGAGCTGTTGCTCTTTCTCACCAGAGGGGGATGTCCTCTCTAGGTGGTTACTTCTGGTTTATAATCAGAGACCATTCAAACTGGAAGGGATAGTTGTCTTTCTGGAGCTTGGGTTGTACTGACCCTTTTCCTAAAGAAATTGTGTTTTTTCTGCAGTATTTTTTCCTTTTGGGGTGTCAGAAGAGGGCTGGCAAGCAGATTTATTCTGAAGAGGAAGAAAAGAACTCTGAGGGATGGGTGCTATGGAAAATGTCAGTCAGCTGGCTTTCCTGTCCTCTGAGCCAGCTGAATGGTAGTGGGCATTTGTTTCCTACCTCTCATTTTTGTTACTCCTCTATTACTTACAGAATATTTATACAGAAATCTATATAGAAATAAATGATTATGTATAAATGAAAATGTTTGCCCTTTTTTGGCCATAGGTGTTTTTGATGTGTTTTTCATATATTTCTTTTTCTTTCTTTTCAGGCTCTCCCAAAGGTTTCTAATTGGCCCCCTTTATAATCACAGGGGTATTAATAAACGTGGTTGTTTGACTTGGTTCTTGTCTTTCATGATGATTCCACTGTGTGCAGCCAACCTGGGATCAGCTGATTTGAAGGTCAGACTTCCCTTACGTTCCTCCTACTCTCAAAGCATACAGTTTTGTCTCTTTTCTCCTCTGGTGGTTGCCCCATCCTGTGGCCACTAGCCTATGCAACCAGGAAGCATAACCAGACCAAGAGACTACACAAATAGGAGAAATCCTGCTCCTTGTGGCTCTGCCTCTCCATCTGGCAACTCTTCCAGGGTGCACTGTCCATGTGCTGATGTGTTAGTCCCCTGCCCTTGGAGATCCTCAGGTTCACAGTACTCTGCCCTCATTGAAACACTGGGAGAAGGTACAGTGAATGCTTGTAGATACTCATGATTTTGAGCTTCCCCTGCTCTATAATGAGATATGTAAGGTGTGTGTGTGTGTGGGGGGGGTTAATCTTGGAGAAAGGGAAACCAAGCACAGCATTGTAGTTAAGAACTCAGGCCTTAGAACTAAATAGACTTAGGTTTGAATCCAAACTTTACCACTTACTGCTGTGTGACCACTTACAGATTTGTCATTATTATGGTATCTGTCCTTCACACCTCAGCCCTATGCCTCCTTTTCAGTCTCATCTCCTGCCACTTCCCTTCTCATTGTCTACTCCACTGCCCCCCCAACCCCCAC